CTTGAATTCTATAGATTCTGTGGACTCAGGGTTAAAAAGACCTCTACTGCTCTGGCTAGTGTGGCTCTGTGGATTGAGTGCTGGCCAGCAAACTAGAGTCGCCCATTCAATTCCCAGTCAGGTTACATGCCTGCGCTGTGTGGCCCAGGTCCCCAGTAGGGGACGCAGAAGAGGGAATCACACATTGATGTTTCCCTCTCTCCCTCGCATCCCCTTTCTAAAAATAAAATAAATAAAACTTAAAACCCTTTGCTATAACGGTTCATGAGCTGACAGTTTTTCACCCAGGAATCTGAGAGAAAGTGCCTCTATTCCAGAGAACTGGAGGAGTCGTAAACTTACATAGAGGTGCGCAAGCCAGTGTTAAATGAAAGCGATCCAAAGTAGTAGTGGGGATTTGCGACTACAAAATACTGTGGGGGAAGGGGCAGAGAAGTAGGGAGGGGATTGCAGAACACCAGCAGCGGGGATGCGGACATGGGAGAACAGTAATGTGGAGTGAAGGTGGACCGGGATCACACTGCGGTCCCCTTCAACGTTCAAGGAGGAAAGGAGGGGCCAGATACCAGGGAGCTAGGCTGCGGCCAGGCAAGCCGCGGGGAGACACGGCTGCGGAGCGATGATTAAGGGCACGGCAGGCCAAACTACTGAGTCCAAGCCTGGTCTCCAGCTAAGTAGCTTAATACTTCTGAGCTTCTGTTGCCCCACTGTCAAAAGGGACAATCAATCACAGGCTGGCGGGAAGACTAAATGACAATATAAATCATTTGGAATGTTGCCCGGCATTAAGGAAGAATCATTATCTATGACTACTAACACAAACAGGACCTCAGGGCCCCGAAAGACCGAAGGCCGCTAGCCGGAAACCTCTTGTTCTCGGGGAAGCTAGGGGCCGGTTCCTCAATCACCCAGGATGGGATCCCGGGCTCCCGACCCTCTACACTCACCTAAAGACGCCCCTGAAGCCGCTCGCAGCTCAATGTGACCCTCAGCAATGACGCCTCCGTCTGGCCGGAAGCGGAATTTAGTCCGCCCGGAAGCCGGGCGGGGTATAAGTGAGTCTTCCATTCAATGGAGCGCCCAGGAGAGGCGGTCTCTGGGGCCATTAAGGCCACACCCATTCATGCGAATTCCAATCTTCTATTGGGCTAAATGGCTGTTCATCGTTACTCTAGACCCAGTCATGAGATTGCATAGATAGCATTTGAAGAGCTTCGAGCTGGGGATTGGGACACCGCCTAGTTAGGGGTTGTCCTCCTTCTGGCTTTACTTGGAGAAAGGAATTCTGTCTGGGTCCTGGGGCTGGCTCGAGAGTGGACCTGGGGAAGTACCCAAGCGGAAGTACTCTTATTCGCTCAAGTATTATTTATTGAATGCCAAGTACTAAAGGTTGGAGATGCATCGTTGAATACAAGATAACAATCTGTACCCTCATTATGATTATTGTGCAGTCAATTGTTACGGTATTGAAAAGGAACTAGTCTTCTTTCCCAGGGTCATTTTTTCATGTTAAGAAGAATACCCAGACTCCACCTCCAAATCCCGAAAAGATTTGAGTGTCTGAGGACTCAGAAATCAGTCCTGCATCACGGAGAAGAGGGGTTAAGAGTTAAGATATGGTTCCATGAAAGGTCTGGCAGAAATCAGTTCATCTTGGAAAATGGCAACTCTTCTTCTGGACAGAGTTATACTTGACTCCTATCTTTCTCTCACACCCTATAGCTGATCTTATTGAGAAATCCTGTTTGCTTTGCCTCTAAAAATATACTCAAAATCTTCTGCCATATCTGGTTCAAGCCACCAGCACCTCCAGCCTGGAATATTATAGTAGCCCACTACCTGGCTTCCAGGCTTCCCTGCTGCCCTCCAGTCAGTTCACTCAGCCAGAGAAACCCTGTTAACACCTCAGTCAGATCAGCTCCCTTCCTTTGCCTAGAATCCTACCCTGGTGTCTGGTCAGACTTTTAGTCTATAATGAAAGTCCTCACAAATGACCTACACAGTTGGGCCCCCTTTATACCCTCATCTTTGTAAAAACTAATAGAGGAAACCTTATTCAAAATGGAGTTGGGAAGCTGACATGTGCACTGGCCTGCAGTGCCCGCCGCGTTATGGATGGAAAATCAAGACAAATTCACATGGACTACTGAGTCCTGTGGAGGAAAAGGGATGGCACAGCTACTCCCTCAAGGGGGGAGTGCCTCAGAATGGCCTGGCAACTCTCTCAAGGGGAGAACGCCCAGACCCTCGCCTTGATGGGCTTTTATTGTTTTTTTTTTTGCACAGGAATTCAGATACAACTTATTAATCATTGTCAGGCAGTAAACAGTAGGTAGCATACAAAGGACTATTAGGGTTTCTTTTAAGTCAGGGTCTATCAGCTAAAAGGCTACAAAACTTTGGGAAAACAAATTCATTTTTGGCGTTATCACCTATGGAGCTTGCCATTCCCAGCACAGGGCTGCACCACACCCTCAGTCATTGTTTTCAGGCTTAAGTCAGGCAGAGGAGGCAGATAGCCAAGGAATTCTCTGAGACTTCTCGCAGACAGAGGACTCAGGCTTCATCAAAGCCAAGGGACGAGGGTCCATCACCCCCTTTCTCCATAGCCCCCGAAGTCCTTCCCTGGGGCCTCCATGTGACCATGCCTGTCTTAGGTGGTTCCCCCCTTGGGGGGAATCCGCCCCCCCTTGGCGGGATTCCCCCTTGGGGAATCTTATTGTTCATTGGCTAACTGATCAGGCATTGGAGGCCAGTTATGAAAAAAGGAGCAGAAGCGGTGCTTCTGCCAGGGAGATAAGCTTTGCCTTCTTAGTGGCTTATGGTTCAAAGGTTGCTCACTCGGCCTTAGCCATGGGGGGTTACAGCTCCTGAAACCAAGCAGGGCTGTTGTCAACAGGAAGCTCTGAAAGAAGAGCTCTCAGGCCCTTATTATTTGTTGCAGCATGCATAACAACAACAACAAAAAAAGGAAGATAAGAATTATTTTAACAAGATCTGTTTCTCAAGTTCCTGTCTGTGATAAGAATGCTACTTTTCATCTGGTTCAAAGGAGGATATTTTTCACAAGGGAATTTATCTCTTGCCTAAAAAGAGAGAGAAAGAAAGAAAAAGGAAGATCCCTCCCTGCCCTAGCACCAACACTCTGGGCCAACACTTGCAGCCAGTGAGAAACCACTGCAACCTCAAACTCTTGTTCTTCTAATGGACTTGTGTTCAAAACACCCCTCCCTAATTTCCTTCTAAAACGTAATAAAAGCTGACCTTCACTTTGTCTCTTTGGATGTACTTTGGGCTTGCCTGTAGCTTGCTACAGTTTGCCTGTCCTGAATTGTAGTTCTTCTGCTATTTCAGAATAAATTCATTTTCTGTTTAGCTGGCCTCAGTTTACCTCTTTAAGCCAACATCTCCTACCCATCTTCTGACTCCCACTGTTCCAGCCTTGGAAGTGGCCTAAAAGGTCCTTAAACATGCAGGCTGGCTTCCCCCTAAGAGCCTTTGCACTTGTTCTCTTGACCTGAAATCTTCCCAAAGCTGGCTCCTTGACTCAGCTCCTTGTTTTTTTGCTCAAATGTCACCTTCTTGGTGAGCCCCTCTCGGTTCAGATATTTTAAGCTGCCATCTGTCAACCTCTATCTCCCTTCCCTACTTTACTTATCCATAGCACTTATCTTCTCAAATATGATATCCTTCCTTTTATTCTGATTACCTTCTTTTGTTTCCCCTCAAAGTAATAGAAGATTGTAGAGGAGCAATTTTTGTCTTATTCTCTACTGTATCTCCAGCACCTGGCACATTGACACAGTGAATTTGTGTGAATAAAGTGCCTAATGAACACTGGATGAAGGAGTTGTGTGAAAGAGAACTGCTTTCATCCTTCTCTTGGTCTTGGCCTCCAAAGCTTCCCCATATACTATGTGTTTGGTGCAGTGCCCAGGTCTTATTGGGTCAGGGGTTCCTTAAATATTGTGTTCATCAACATTGTTACTATTTGTGGAACTACCTGTTTGCATGCCTTCTTTCACTCCCTTCAATGACATCTTAAAGCCCAAATCCTTTCCCTGCTTAACCCACCCATAGCTCCCCTGTGACCTTGGGACAAAGTCCAGGCTCCTTACCATGACCCCAAAGATTCTTTGTGAAACGATCCATTGTCCCTTCTCCAGCCACACTGACATTTTAGTTCATTGAATAGTGCTGTGAGATCTACCTCCAGGCCTTTGCTCATGCTGTTTTTCTGCCTGGAACATTCTTTGACTTCTCAAATCAGCTGTTTTTTCCTCCAGGAAGCCTTTCCTGGCTTCCCCTTTCCCAGGCTAGGTCAGGTCCCTCCTTCTGGGTCTCCCCAACCCCTTGGAGTTTCCCCATCCCAGCCCTGACTACTGTGGGCTGCCCTGGTCTGGTGATGGGTCTGTAACTCCACTGAACTGTGAGCTCCCTAAGGGCAGGGCCGAGTAGTCTTGGTCACTGCTGAATCCCCAGCAATGTCAACAGGACCACTTGAGCTGGCTCTTTTCAGGAGCTCAGCAGTTCCCAGAATGTAGTAGCTCTGCTTGGGATCTAGGTCTGAGTTCTACATTCCCCAGCTTGGGTGGGGAAACAAAGTAGGTGGTTTTGAGGGGGTAAGCACTACATTTAATTTCTTGATAATCACTAGCACTGTGAGGGTACACAGTAAGCCTTTTTTGGAGCCTCAGTTCTTTTTTAAGGGGGACAGAGTAGGTAAACTCACCAGTGATTGTGTCTGATGCTTTACAAGTCCCAGCACAGGGCAGGCGGATCCAATGGAGGAACTGAGTTAGATTCCTTTGTTTGTCCCATCACACAATGAGCGCACAGTAAGTCCCTTAAGGGTCTGGGTCTGTTTTGGTCTGGTGAGTCTTAGGATCACACAGGCGGTGGGTGGCAGGGTTGGGGGGTGGGCGCTGTTGAGTGGGGACGTACGCAGGCTCCCCAGCAGATCTAAGGGTCGTTGGGATGGATGCAGGCAGCACGAGAAGGAGATTTGACCGGATATTTTATTGGGTTGCTGCTCCCTGTCCGCCCCCGGAACGGTCGGGATAAGCTAAGCCGGGCACCCGACCCCCGAAGCAGTAGGTGTACTTGCTCCTACCGCTTTTGCGCACAATATCGCGACGGTAGTAGTAGCGCAGGCCTCGGCTCAGCTTCTCGTAATTCATGCCAGGTTTCCTCTTGCGCTCGCCCCACAGCCGCGCCACCTAGGGGATAGGCAGAGCTTAGTGGAGAAGATGGGAAGGGGAGGGCTTGGCAATAGGTGGGCGGGTGGGGGGGCGGGGCAGGGTTCGAGTATAGTAAGGACAACGGTTAGGTGGCGCGGAGCAGGGTCGAGGTGAGAACGCGTCCGGGGAGGGGCCAAAGACTAGGCAAAATGAATGGTGGGACTAGGCTGAACAAGAGGAGACTGGGGTTGGACTTGGCGGGTCTGGGAAGCTGCCCCACCTCTTTGGGGTCGCACAGCTGGAACTCGAGGCTGTTGCCCGTCCAGCGGATGCAGCTGCTACGAGCCCCATCTTGAAGCAGCTCCAGGAGGAACTGCCACAGCTGAATTGGACCTGCTGGGTGGAGGCAAGTGAACACTCAGGTTTTCTGGCCCCAGTCCAGGTCGCTTTGATGACTCAGGCGTCCGGGCTCCCTCCCCAGACCAGTGAGTCCAAATCCCTCCATATAAGGACCCAAGGATTGGCCTCGGGGGCTCGGGTTGTCCCACCTTGAAGACCCAGTCATCCAGACTCTCAAGTCTTTCCTTGCCACCTAATCCAGGAGCCTAAATCCTCGTCCCTAGCCCCGCAGAAGACGACCAGGGTCTTAACCCTCCCCTTCCTCAGGACTCAGGAATGAGGGCAACCGCCGTCTCCACTCTCCAGCGCTGAAGCACCTAAGTTCCGCTCTCTCACAGCCAGTTTCCCGGGTCCCGCCCCCTTATGCGCGTAGGCTGCAGTTTAGCTTCCTGCGAAGTCTTGCGGACCTCTCACCTCGGTGGTTAGTTTTGGGATAATGAGCTAAAGTTGCGCGGTCCGACTGCTGGCTCGGTCCGGAGGAAGAGGTGAAATCTGAACTCTGGTACTCCTTCGAAGACGTGGTGCAATCCGTATGCAACCCCATGTCCCAGGTGGTGGGATAGTACCGGCGCTCAGGCTCGCCCCAGGGGGTGGCGCGGTCGCAGCCAATAGAACAGTCCCAGCTGGTGGAGCTGGCTGCTGCCGCTACGCCCGACCACGAGTTGGTACCTCCCGCAGAGCTGGTGTTCTGGCGTGTGATCCCTAAAGACCCAGAGGAGCGGAGAGGGCCCAGGCCGGGAGGGGCGGGGCCCAGGGCCGGCGAGACAGGGCTCCAAGGGTCCCAGCTGGTGCACCCAAATTGTGACCAGTCTCCTGACCACGGTAGAGCCTGACAGGAGTGCTCTGTGAGGAGGAACGGATCCCAGTGAGTGGAGCCCCGGTGTCTCATTCCCCGGCCCCCTGGGGAGTTCTAGAAGTCGAAGCTCTCTGTCCCTGGTTCCTGAGGCCCCTGGCTCCCGGATCTGGGCTAGGCCACCTGGAGGACACAGGCGCCCCCAGTCCTATTTCCGTTCTCTCTCAAAGATAAGGGAGGAAAAACTTCAACCTCGGTGGAGGGCCCCAGATTCCTCCTTCCCTGTCTCGTACACACTCACCCGCTTTCTGTGGAGTTTCTGGGTGTGGCAACGTGGAGCCCCAGTCCTGCTGTGGGAATCCTGCGAGGGATAAGGATGTAGCTGAATTTAAGGAAGTGTGTGAGCAATAACTAGAGACCCCCCCCCCCTCAACCACTCACCCAGTAGTTTTCATTTGTCTGGGACGGGAAGTCCTTATTACCGCCCCCCCCCCCTCACTCAGAGCTAGGACTTGGGACTCCAACCCCCTCTTCATCCTCAGGAGTTTAAGCCTGAAGCCCTCTCCCCGTTAAACTCGGGAAGTCCAGGCATGGTCCCTTCCTCCCACAGATTTAACATTCCCCAACACCCAGGATCCCAGCCCACAAACACCTTTCCAGCAAGGGTCCTCTGTCAGGGTGTCCCCTTGGAGTGCCACTTCAGGGAAATAGAAGCCGAGTTCAGCTCCTTCTGCAGGCAATCAGGAGATTAGGGCGGGTCAGGGTCAGTGGAAGCCTCCCACCTGGGCACCGGCCCCCGCCCCCCCCTCCCCGCCCACACATCTACATTGTTTCAGCCCCAGCAGCCTACCCAGCCTTGGCAGCCTACCCGGCCTTGACAGCCTGTTCCCTGGGGGCCCTTCCTGTGGTGATGCTTCATCCCACGTCCACAAGTCCATGGATGTTCCTTGTAAATGTTCTGGAGTAGGGGGGATGGGATGGTGGGGAAGACACAGGGTGAGCTGGTGTCACTTAAGGACCCTGCAATCTAAGTCCCAGCCCTTGCTTCCCTCAGACCCAGGAGTCCAGGCCCCCAGATCTCCAGTCCCCAGTTTATGGCTCACCTCTGGCGGGTTCCTCTGCCCCCAGTTGAGGGTCTCAGCCCCATTTCATACCATGCACCCCTCCCTTGGGGACCTGAGCAGGGGAGAATTTTCCAAGACGTCAGAGCTGGGGGTTGAAACTAGGGTCAAGTTGCAGGGGGCTGGGGCGGGGCTGAGCTACACTGCCCCCAACCCAGGAATGGCCACCTGCCTCCTGGTAGCTGGGGCTTTCCTGCTGGAGTAGCTTTGGGGAACAATAGGCTGGGCTGCAGGGGGTGTTTATGGGGTGATGGCACTGGGGCAGGGGGCTTGGTAGACAGGTTCTCCATCTGGGGGACTTGATCCTGCGACATGGAGGGGGGCTGGGGGAAGGAGGGCCTGGGTACAGCTGGGCTGCACCAGATTTATCTGCAACAGGAAGGGGGGGATTTCCGGCCAGACTCTCCATTAGCCTACGTCACAATCCACAAGACAACTGAGGGAGATGGAGTTGGGGGACGCTTATTGGGATCCCTGACCAGGTAGAGTTCTCCCATTCCCAGGGCTCTGAGGACATTCTAGAGGAGCATCAATCATGATAATGGTAGTGTCAACAAAACAAACAATAACAGTAATACTAATAGCCAACATTTGTTGAGGGCTCATTGCATGCCCCCAACTGCTACGGGCCTTTGTTTAATTTTCTATTGGGTAGTTACTAGTCTTATTTCCATTTTATGACAGAGAGGAAATTGAAGCAGGCTTCCTCCCACTTTTGTTCATCTCCAGAGTCCATGCCCTTCCATGCTGTAATAGTTTGGGACAAATGGGAAATTTGAGTATAGACTATGTGATATAAAATTACTAATTTTTCTTAGATGTGATAATGGTGTCATGATATGAAAGATGTCTCTGTAATGAACACTGAAATATTTAGGGGAGAAGTGCTGTTTGTAACTTGCTTCAAAAGATTCATCAACCCTCTCCATGTCTGTTTTTGAGTGTCCCTCTCTCTCTCTCTCTGGGTTTTCTGCCCGTTTCTACTCTCATTGTACTGCTTCACGGTTCCCGCCTCTCTTCATCCTTTTGCCTCCCTTCCCACCCCTCCATCTCTGTTCATCTCCACCTATGACCTTTTTTTCTCTACCTGTCCTCAGGAAGACTTAAATGCACCCTTTAAAAGCCTCCTTTCTGTCATCATTCTCCTTCCCATCTCCTTCCTTGCCCCTAGGGTTAGTGAGCAGAAGCAGGGCAGAAGGGAGGGCTAGTAATGTGCGGGTGGGACTTGAGGGTCAGCTGGGTGGTTCAGCCAGGTGGCAGGGAGCTGAAGGGCACTTCCTGCTGGGGGAGGAGGCCCTCATCCTCTGACCAGACTGGAAAATGTGACGTCACAGAGGGGGGTTGTAAAGCAGAAAGACAGGAACAGAGGAAAATTTAACATCTCTCCTGGGTGGCTAGCTTCCCTGACAGGCCTTGGTAGTTTCTCCCCTCCTCCCTTGCCCCCTACCAATCCAGGGTTCTCACCACTATACCCCTGGGAGACCCTCATCTCCTCCTGCTGGAAAAACACGATCTCCTTCTGCCCCAGCCTCTTTCCAGACCTCTGCACACAGTAGTTTCAGGGCTGTTTCTAAAGTGCAGATCTGTGATGCTGGTTCCCTATTTGAACTACCTCAGCTTCCTGGGACTGGTTGCTGCCATCAGAGTAAAGTCTAAGCTCTTAGTCTGGTGTTCAAGTTCCTGTATGGATTTTCTTTCAATAGGCAGAGACAAACTTGGAGCCGGGAAAGGAGATGGGTGAAGAGACCCATAGATATGGAGAGAGTCGACTCAGATACAGATGCATAGGGACAAACCAGGGTACACTCAACAGAGAAAGAGACAGAAAAACATTCAAGGAGACCCCCACAAAGACATAGTCTAGGGTTCAGCAGAGTGAAGAGAATGGGAAACAGTCTCAGAGATCCAGAGAGTGAGAACTGCAGACTCTGAGAGAATGACAGAAGAGAATGAGACAGCCTCAGAAACAGCCAGTTCCTTCAGAAAGCCCTCCTCGAATACCAGCTTGCACCCTGGGCTCCTCTACTCCAACCCTGATCTCTCTTCTGCCATTGGACCAGGAGCTCTGAGGAAACAGGGCCTGGGACTGTTACAGTCACCAATGTGTCTCCAAGCACTGTTTAAGCCCTAGGTGAGTCTGCTGCAAGCCTAGAAGGCTGTGAGCTCCAGAAGGGCAGGGCCCAGGAGACCCTCCCAACCCTTACGCTGGTGCTGAGAACACAGGCTAGAGTCAGAAGAGCATGGGTCTGGGCCTCAGCTTCCTCTTCTGTGAAATAGGTTGTACTCAGTGTGCCCTAAAGAGGTTTCCAGAAGATGTAATGGGCGCTCAGTAGGAACTGAAAAATGACCATCTGCATAAACTCCTGGCTACCTACTATTCCCAGGTGGGGAGAGGCAAGGTCTTGTATCCCAAAGCGTTTCCAAGCTCAGCCAGGGATGGAAACGAACAAAAATTTATTGAAAATGGTTTTGAGGAAGATGGTTGGGTGTATAATTGCAGGTTTTCCAAAGAGAACACTGAGGAGGAGCCAACACCTGGCCAGGTGGGAGCAGGTGCCCAGCCACAGACCCTATCTCAGGCCCAACTTCTTCTTCTCCTTTTGCTTCTTGCGTACCACATCCAGGTTCCGGTCCTTCCACATGCTCTTGCGCAGCTTGATGGGGCGTGAGCCCACATACTTCCCTATGGGAACGGAAGGTTCAAGGTCAGGTTTGAGATTGGGTTTAGGCCAAATACCTGTCACACCCATTGTCCCAGGGGAGGCCTCACCCACCATTCATCTCGCGCATGGCTCGTACATAGTCGCTAGGATCCTTAAAGCTGACGAAGCCATAGCCCTTGGTCTTGCCTGTGCGCTTGTCGCGGATCACCTTAGCCTTAAGGAAGGATGGGAAACGGCTGAAAGCGCGTGCCAAGATGTCATCGTTCACCTCATTGCCCAGATCTCCACAGAAGATCCGAAAGTCATCTGTGGTGGGGAGAGAGGAGATCAGAGGATGCAGATGCTTGGACCAGTGTCTGCCTTATTTAAAGGGCCTTCTCTGGAGGCATCTCAACACCACCCCCTACCCCCAAGCCCCTCTGCATCCCTAGCAGTCTCTGCCTGTGGTCCCCTTAGTGATAACTGCCAACACCTGTATGGTACTTACCTCGTGCTAGACTTTCTGCTAAGCACTCATGAGGTTTTAGCACACCTGGCACTCTTAACAGCCCTTTTACACTGAGGCACAGAGAGGTCAAGTCACCTGCTCAAAGTTACTCAACCAGCAGTAGTCGAGTTGGGATAGAATTCAGGCATCGGACTCCAGAGTTCTCACTTTTAATTAATTGCACTACCCTTCTTCACCCTAGGATCGTCTCACCCATTCCCAGGATGAAGCCCCTCTGTCTCAGCCCTGGCTTCTTCTCTCAGCCCCTGGTACCCCCTGGTTTCCTGGACACCTCCCTATGGACATACCCTAGGTACCTGATACCACTGGCTCCCATAATGGCACCCAATACCACAGATTTCATCCTTCCTCAGCAAAGCCCTTTTTCTTTTTAAAGATTGTATTTTTTTTTTTTTTTTTTTGAGAGAGAGGCAGGGAGGGAGAAAGAGAAGGAGAGATCAAGAAACACTGATCAGTTGCCTCTTGCATACTCCCAAATGGGGACATGGCCTATAACCCAGACATGTGCCCTGACTGGGGATTGAACTAGCAACCTTCTGGTTCAAAGGCCAGTGCTCAATCCACTAAGCCAGCCCACTCTTAGTTCCCACATGAGTCCCCGAAAGTTGAACACACTGCCCAATCTTTCTCCACAGCTGACCTCAGTTGCCATTTCTGGGCATATCCCCTAGGGTGCGCCTGAGCCTCAACTGAACATGCTCACACCCAAAGAATCCTTTCCCCATGAAGCACATACTATTATTATCCCCTTGTTAGAGATGAGGAAGATGAGACTGTCACAAAACTAGGGTCCACTGCCTATACTGGCCTCATCTGGGCCCATGCTGCCATGACCCCTGGCCTGGGGTGGTAGACTGTCCCAAGAGAAGAGGCAGAAGTCAAGGACTGGGATGGGAGGTAGGTCCCTTTCCTTGATTACAACTGGAGTTGCCCATGGTTTCTGTGATAATTAAGGACGTTCTCTGAGAACAAGATAGACTAGTTCAGGAGAAAATAATGAGAAACTCAGAAGGTGACACCTTCTACAAGACAACTGGTCTGGACACTTCAAATTACTATACACAAGACAAGGCAGTGGGAGAGAGATGATTCTCATTAAAAGGTAATTTGAGGCATAAAGCTGCATGAATCCTGATTTGTTGGAGAAGAGTTTTCAGTTTGGGGAGAACTGAGTAAATGTGAATATAAATGGATATGAGAAACCATAGAATTATTAATTTTCTTAGATGTGTTAATGGTATTGACATGGAAGAGATTTAACACTTTTCTTAGGAGATAAATACTGAGGTATTTAGGAGTGAAGTGATAATTTATAACTTGCTTTAGATTGAGTAAAACCCCCCAAAACACACATACACATAGAGAGATAAAGTAATATAGCAAAATATTGATTGCTAAATCTAGGTGGTAGATACATGGCTGTTCATTGTGCAGTTTAGTGTTTAACATTTTTCTTTCTTTCTTTTTTTTTGGGAAAGATTTTATTTCTTTTCAGAGAGGGGGAGAAAAAGAGGGGGAAAAACATCAGTGTGTGGTTGCCTCTCATGTGCCCCCAACTGGGGCACAACCTGGCCAGCAACCTAGACACATGCCCTGACTGGGAACCAAATGGGCGACCCCCTGGTTTGCAGGCTGGTGCTCGATCC